GGCGAGAGCTGCGTCCATGCACTTCGAGAAAGTGCGCGGGGCCAAAGCCAGCCCAAACGGGAGCACAGAGTACTGGTACGCTGTGCCTCGAAAGCAAATCTCAGAAAGCGTCTGTGATGCGCTGCTGTCTGAATGTGAATGTACGCGTCCTTTAAATTCATGGATGCAACCAGTACCCGGGGCGAATTCGCACCAGGATCTGTTTTATCATCCTGAACGCACGCTTGCAGAGCGCTCTGTTGATGGGCCTGAGATCTAGAATCGGGCGTAGTCCTGCATCTCTCTTGGGCACCATAAAATGGCGGTTGTAAAACTCGCTCCTGATCTTGCATATCACCAGCTGCATTATCTTAATCGGAGGAACGCATACAGCCAGCCTCGATGTCAAGTCACCTTTATTTATATAGCGCTTTTAACAATACAGATTGTGTCAAAGCAACTGTACAGCATTAATTAGGAAAATAGTGTGTCAATAATAGTTCCGATTGACCTAATTAATGCATCTTAAAAATCCTTTAACGGATTTGAATATTAGAAGCATATTAGTGTGTTATGTGTAAGCCAGGTTAAAGAGCACACCTAGGTTCCTAACTAATGACGAGAAATTGACAGAGCAGCCATCAAGTCTTGGACAGTGTTCTAGGTTATTACATGCAGAGTTTTTAGGTCCTATAATTAACACCTCTGTTTTTTCAGAATTTAGCAGTAAGAAATTACTCGTCATCCAGTTTTTAATATCGACTATGCATTCCGCTAGTTTTTCAAATTGGTATGTTTTGCCGGGCCCGTGTCAGAGCGTCCCCTTCCAGCTGGGAGTGAGACAGGGAGAAGAACAGCGGGCAGTGCGCATTCTCGCTCATGGCGAACAGATCCACCTCCACTCTCCCGTAGCGGGTCCAAATCATCCGGACCGACTCGGGATGCAGCCTCCACTCTCCTTGAGGAATCCCCTTCCTCAAAAGCATTTCTGCCCCGCGGTTCAGGAGACTGGGGATGTGCGCTGCTCTGATGGAGAGAAAGTGACGGTCCGTTCATAGCAGGAGATTCGCTGCCTGCTTGTACCGAGCCTTGGATCGCACGCCCCCTTGGTGATTAATGTACGACACCACAGATGTTGTCGGTGTGAATCAGTACATGTCGCTGTTCCAGCTGAGGCTGTAAATCCTTTAGAGCTAAGAACACTGCTTCCAGCTCCAAGAGGTTTATGTGCCACCGGCTCTGAGGTTCTGTCTACAGCCCTGAAGCCGGCATGCCCTCGCACACTGCTCTTCATCCGTGAGTCGATGCGTCCGTCGTGACCACGACACGTGATGTCATCAAGCCCAGGGGAACCCCTCTGGCTGAGGAGATCTTTGTTCCACGGCCTCAGGGCTTCAATGCAGCTGCGGGAGACCGCGATGCGCAAACGGTCCGAAGTTCACGCCGTCCAAGGGACTCGATTTCAGCCATAACTGCAGCGGGCGCATGTGTAGTAAACCCAGATGACATACTGATTCCGCTGCCATGAGTCCCAGCAGCCTCTGACATTACTTCAAGTGAACAGAACTGCCCAGTCTGAAATGGTACAGGGAAGACAATGGCCGCCGCGCGCTCCTGAGAGAGGCAAGCGCGCATCTCCACCGAGTCGAAGCTCTCTCTCAGATACGTTATAGACTGACTTGGGGCGAGAATGCTCTTACGCACATTCACACATAACTCCCAAGTGACGAAACAGTTTGTCTATATGGCTGTCTATAGTGTGTCCCGTGACTGAGCTAAGATCAGCCAGTCATCCAAATAATTGAGAAAGCGCATCCCACTCGCTCGGAGGGGGTCGAGAGCTGCGTCCATGCACTTCGAGAAAGTGCGTGGGGCCAAAGCCAGCCCAAACGGGAGAACAGAGTACTGGTACGCTGTGCCTCGAAAAGCAAATCTCAGAAAGCGTCTGTGATGCGCTGCTATCTGAATGTGAAAGTACGCATCCTTTAAATTCACGGACGCAACCAGTACCCGGGGCGAATTCGTGCCAGGATCTGTTTTATCATCCTGAACGCACGCTTGCAGAGCGCTCCTGCATCTCACTTGGGCACCATAAAATGACGGTTGTAAAACGGGCTGCTCCAGCTCGCTCGGAGGGACTCGTTCTCGGATTCGTTCTACCGCTCCTTTTTCGAGCAGGTTGCATAACTCTTGTCTCAGAACCAGGGCATTTCGCGGCAATGTTAGAGACTTCACCACGCCGTTGAAACGGGGTGGTCTGCGTCTGAATTCAAGGGTGTACCCACGCTCTATCACACCGAGTAACCAGCGCAAGATTCCTGGAATAGTTTTTCACACGCTCAGGAACTGACATAGTGACTTTAGCGGCTTGGTCGTTGGATGCGCCTATAACATATGATGTGTGAGCATTTTAAATTTAGTAATTACACCATAAATGCATATAATTAAAGTCTACTGTTTCACAGTCAACACATGGCTTTTTAGCTAGATTTAAAACAAGAAAAAGTGCACTTTTAGATGAACGATGCAATAATAGATGGCGCTCGTGGTGGTAGTTAAACAAAGTTATATTTATTGAGTTTAAACGTGAATATGTCTATGAAAGATTGTATTACTGTACTGTGATTAAAAGAGAATCACAATGCTGAAAAAGCATTTTCAGAAGCAACGTTTGGATTTGAAATCCAAATAATGGATAAATGTTGTGTTTGTGGTAAACCTCCGCGGATCAGGAGCGGACTGCAAACGCGTCCTGTGTGAAAGCAAAATGAGTCCGTGCTGCTTCTGCACCGCATACACATACTGTATACGCACTGCAGACGGAGTACGTGTGAACTGGCGCAACAAATCTAGTTCAACATCTGAGGCATGATTTTTTTTTCTTCTGCCATATGTCTATTCTAGAGTCATTTTGTTACACCTAATAATCTTAGTGATTATTTTGCCTTATATCTGTTCTAGAGACATGTTACAGCTTCTTGATAAAGCTCTAATTGGTTTTCTTTTGGAAATAAGTTTCAAATTCACACTGAATGCGTTTATGACTGTAAAGCATGTCTGTGTGTGTTAAAAGCGAAATCGCAAAATCGATCAAAGAAATCACAATAGGTTTTTTTTGTCCATATCGCACACACACACACACACACACACACATCACTTGCAAAAAAGTATATATATATACTTTATTAGAACAAAGCAGAAGCATCATACTTTTAGTCTTGAATGAGTGAATTTTCTAGTTTTCTTCTGGTTTTATGTCAAATATCTCCACAGTTAACTGTTCATCTCTAACTGATGAACCTCTTTTTGAGTTTTGAGAATCACTGCTTGGTAATAAAACCATGTTTGTTCATGATAAAGATATAGGACTGTTTTTGGAAGTGTCTGAAGGATACTGATAGCAGAAACAAACCCTGTAGTGATAAAGATGATGGGTTGTTGCCTGTTTGTTTATCTTGTGTGTCCATTCATGTCAATACTCGGAGTAAAGAGGCAGGTTTGGGCCGTTTCTGCTGTTCAGCAAAAAGAAGGTCAGCGCACTTGTTTTAGTACTCAAAAGTGGGCATGTGATCAGGAAAAAGCTGTCACAGTTTCCTAAATGCTGTATCTGAAGATAGGATGTTAGTTATAATAATTCCAACATTTTGCTGCAGGTTTCCTACAAACTCAAATTAGTTTAGAGTTGATTTAAGCGTAAAAAGTCTTACACGCGCACACACATACATATGTAAAAGATCGTAATGTTAAAAAAATATATATCTGTATATATATTGCAATAAAATATCTAAATATTAACTACAATAACTAAATATAATCACAATTTAAAACAACTGTTTTCTAGTTTAATATATGTTCAAATGTAATTTATTCCTGAGATCAAAGCTGTATTTTCAGCATCATTACTCCAGTCTTCAGTGTCACATGATCTTCAGAAGTCAGTCTAATATGCTCAAGAATCATTTCTGATTATTATCGGTGTTGAAAACAGTTGTGCTGCTTAAAACCATTTATTGAGTTTAAACCAAAAATGTTGAATTTATCCTGTTTATCAAGTTTGGCTTTATATTTTATTTTGGAGGGTTTTGTAGGGCCCTATAAAAACAGTTTTATATATTTTTTCTCGTTTTAATTTTTCTAGACACTGTTTTAATGGTTAAATTAAATTGTATTCATCAAAAAGCATGTCTAATTAATTGAAATAATGAAACTTACATTTTTAAATAGGCCCTATATGAAATATGTTTATTTTTCTCAAATGTTTTCTTCTTTTTTTACCAAATTCAGTATTCTATGAATTTTCTGGATTCCATTTGAATAATTTCATTAAATATTAATAATCAAAAGCATCTCAAATTAATTAGATTTTATTAAAAAAATGATATATTTTTTCCCCCAGAAATACTGTGTTGTGTATTTACATTTTTCTGCTAAATAAATTTTGGTAAATAATCCTTCTGGTAAATATTCCTGTACAAATAATGCTTTAATAATAATTTTATAAATAGTAGTAGTAGTAGTAGTACTATCATTGCATTAAGTTTTATTTCTGTCACGGTTTCTTCAAGTTAAACTGAACTTTTATTTTGACGGGTTGCTGTGAAGACCTTTAGGTTTCTGTTTGTATATGATATGAGATAGTTTAACTCAAAAGAAACCGTAAAATGCTGATGAAGTGACTCTCAGAGCAGTTCTAGAGATCACATTCATGCCATTCATTCACACACCGACACGAAGAACATGCAGGATTTATATTGAAATGGTATTTTTCATCACGTTTTGATTTAAGTGCACTGACCTACTTTTGATTTATCCATCCAAAATTGGACAAATTCCGTGACATTCCGCGTTATTCTGCAATTTAAATTTTTATGACTGGATTCTGCGATTCTGTCTGCATTTTTCACATCACGGAAATCATAGGGCCCTAGTTTTGTGTGTGCACATTCACATTTACATTATTCTGTTTTCCAAATATCTGTGTTTAGCTCCATTAATTCAAGCTTTGTTAATCCCGCCCCCAGGGCCTGATCCTGCCCAATGGGACTCCAGTAGACACATCAAGCCCCGCCTCCTCTTCATCTCTGCTGAACCGACTACAGCTCGATGACGATCTGGACGGAGAAACGCGCGATCTGTTTGTGACTGTAGAAGACCCCAAGAAACACGTGTCTACTATGGAGACATACATCACCTACAGAGTCTGCACAAAGGTCAGAGGGCAAAGCTCACAGGCTTTACTGACAACGAGATGCTGTTATTATTTGTGCGGTTATATAAAGGTGTTATTTAAAACTTTATTTCAGATATCTGAAGGATAATGAGCCTCTTTAGACAGATTTTGTTGGTTAATCCGAATTGTTGATCCCTAAACTATCAGCTTGTTCCACTTTAACTGTACTTGTAAATCACTGTGGCTGCTAAAATGACTAATTAGTGATTGGTATTAAATGAGTTAATTGTCAAGAGGTCAGCTTTTCTCTTTTCTTCTAAGTGCTGTAGTTTAGCTCTTGTGGCGGTTGTTTGCTCCCATTGTGATCAGTAACGTGCTCACTGTGGCAGTTTCTGGGCTCAGAGTCACATAGGGGTGCTAATTAAAAACAGCCAATCACAGCATGGACGCAATGCATCTGAGAGTTATTTCCCATCAGCCCTTGGGAAACTCATCGCTGGGTTTTTTGGGGATTGTGAGAGAAACAGGGTTGAGATCATAGTCAAAATAATACAGTGATATATCATGGCTAAAAGAATACAGCAACCAGTGTAGTTGTAGTATTATTTATATAACATTATAGCATTAATTAATATTTCGAATTGTTATATTTTAATTATAGTTTATTTAGTTTTATTTCAGATTTAGAGAATTTAGTTCAACTTTTATTTCAAAAATTATTTATTTCAGTTAGGTGCCAAGACAACATTTCAAATTTTTGTTGAATGTTTTTAAGTTTAGTTTTTGTTGTAATTAATTAAATTGGTCAGACAGTGTGGGAACTCTTTTTAAGACACAAAATATGTCCCACCACCATTGAGTCGTTGCTTAACTGCGTGTGTGTGTGTGATCCTGTCATCCTTTATTGTAGTAAAACACTTTACTATTTTACTGTCAATCAGAAGTTTTTTTTTTAATGTTTTTGAAAGAAGTCTTTTCTGCTCACTAAGGCTGTATTCATTTGTTTAAAAATACAGTAAAAACAGTAATATTGTGAAATATTATTTTAATTTAATATAACTGTTTTCTATGTGAATATATTGTAAACTGTAATTTATTTCTGTGATCAAAGCTGTATTTCCAGCATCATTACTCCAGTCTTCAGTGTCACATGATCTTCAGAAATCATTCTAATATGCTGATTTGCTGCTCAAGAAACATTTCTGGTTATCAATGTTAAAAATAGTTGTGCCTCTTCATATTTTTATGAAAACGTTGACACATTTTAAGATTTCTTTGATGAATAGAAAGTTCAAAAGATCAGCAGTAACATTATAGATGTTGTTATTGTCACCTTTCACCAATTTAATGCATCCTTGCTGCATAAAAAAAAATGTAAAAAAAATGTTATTGACCTGTTTTTGTTTCTGTGTGACCTACAGACCACCAGAACAGAGTTTGACCTGCCTGAGTACTCGGTAAAATTAAGAGTCAGCCACACCTACCTAAAACGGCTCGTTCTAACACGCCCCCACATGTCTACATCACTATGTGGAAATATTAGCATAATGCCGCCCAACTGTGCACGCAAAGAAAGGCGGCGTGGTTTCAGTAACGCAGTTAGTGTTGAAGCAGCATGTCAGGGAGACGCTGTGTGTTTCAGTGCGAAAGCAAAAGCACTTTATTTGGCCTTCTGGAAGTAGATGCAATTAGGAATCATTGGTTAAGATTTATTTACAACAGAACAGCACAACCCAGATGTTCGAATTTGTGCAACGCATTTTATGGACGGTGTGAGTGTGTGTGTGTGTGTGTGAGAGAGAGAGGGGAACAGGGTCACATCACAGGAGAGTGAACGGTCTGTCAGAAAGCATGTGTGAGTGTGTGTGTGTGTGTGTGTGTGTGTGTGAGAGAGAGGGGAACAGGGTCACATCACAGGAGAGTGAACGGTCTGTCAGAAATCATAGCACGTCAGCTGTCTTAACCACGGCTTGTGTACTGCATCATCACTGTGTCTGTCACGCGACTCTGTTCCCCTTTCGGGCTTGAACTGATGGTAAAACTAACAACATTATTAACTGTCTTGATATTTACTTTGAAAGATGAAGCTGTGATTATGGTAAGGGGCGTTACATTTCCGACGCGTGCTTGTGGTGTTTGGCCAATCACAATGCACTGGGTCAGCTGGCCAATCAGAGCAGACTGCACATGTCAACGTATTCTGTTACACCAAATACACCAAATAATGATCTTTAAAAAAGCATCATATGACCCCTTTAAGTTATTGACCTGTTTTTGTTTCTGTGTGACCTACAGACCACCAGAACAGAGTTTGACCTGCCTGAGTACTCGGTAAGGCGACGCTACCAGGACTTTGACTGGCTGAGGAACAAATTAGAGGAAAGCCAACCCACCCATCTTATTCCAGTAGGTAGAGGAAGAGCCTTCACTGCACTGCTCTCAAAACCACTAGTTTTAATGCATTTGCACATTAGTACAATTAGTTATGTAATGAGGCATTTAATATTGTGGGGATTGTTTTTGCTCCAATCACTGATACACCAAGATTAAGCAAAATCTGCTACGTTTGTTGTTGTCTCCTTTCTGCAATCCTTTAGCCTTTGCCTGAGAAGTTTGTTATGAAGGGAGTGGTGGACCGCTTCTCAGAGGAGTTTGTGGAGACCAGGAGAAAGGCACTAGACAAGTTCCTCAAACGTGTAGCAGACCATCCTGTGCTTTCTTTTAACGAACACTTCAATGCATTTCTCTCCGCAAAGGTCAGTGCTTTAAAGTCTGCATGAAATTAAACATTCACACTATCTGTTTTCTAAATGCATATTATAGACCGAGCTGGGTTGTAACTGATTACATGTAATCTGGATTACATAATCAGATTCCAAAAATAAAGTACTCGTAATGAGAGCATATTACATTTTATAATGCTCATAATCAGATTACAGTTGCATTTCATGGATTACATGATTACGTACTATTCACACATTGGCGGTAAATCATGTAGAATTGGTTTGTTTTTGTTTAAAATTTTCCTTTCTAAAAATCCTATTGTGTCATACTATTTAGCTTGAGCTATATTCACAATATAGAATGGTTGTGTACATTTGTATTGTAATTGTGTAAATTTGTATTGTAAATAAATTTGCAATCCCTGCGTCTGAATTTGGGTAAAAAAGCACCTCTCGAGCAATTAGACCATGTATGAAGCAAATAATTGCAAGATGTAATGTTTAATGTATTTTATGATGTTGATATAAAAATAGAATATATTTTCTTTTTCTTAGTTTTTTTATATCAGTGCAGTATGTTTAATGGTAAGTTTAAAACAAGTTAGAAAAAAAGTAATCTAAAAGTAATCCAGAAAGGGGTCAGAATGCATTACTTAAAATGTGTAATCTGTAATCAGTAACAGACTACAATTTGTAAGTAATCTACCCAGCTTGTTGTGAACGAATCATCCGTGTTTTTTTTTAGGGATGCACCGATATGAAAATTTTGGCCGATACCCGATTATTCTTTATTTTTGAAAGCCGATAACCGATATGTTGGCCGATAAATCTATATCCAAATTGTTATATACTTTTTGAGAGCCTGATTACAAAAAAGGTCTCATCATTAAAAGCCACATCCCAAACACTTCAACATAAGCAGCCTAGTTTGAACGGTGTACGTTTTAAAAATATTTTTACTCTCCCATTACCAAATTTAGTCATAAAAAAGTCTTACAAATAAATAAAATAATGCATAAATAATGCAAACAAGTCACTGGACATCATTACACGTGTAAAGAATCAAAATGAATGCGCCATAGATCAATAAAACGGAATAGCCTCTGCACGGACAATAATTAAATGATTTTAAGTACTAAACCATATTGTTGATGAAAATAATAAGAGAAAAATACAAGTGGTTGTTGTTATTAATAATGCATCAATGATTTTGAAAAAGTAACAAATTAATACCACTGTTTTAAATAGCAGCCATTGAGCTGCAGCTCAAGCTGAAGCTGAAGAGCTGAATGAACACGGTAAACTGAAGCGTTTTGCTGGCAGCTTATTTAACTCAAGGAAATGCATCCTGAGATTAATATTAATACAACATAAACATAATATTACAACTTATATATGAAATGACAAATGACGCAGTTATTTTTATGTTTTATAGTGATGAATTAAATGCTATAACTAGGTCTTGTGGTGAAACAATATAGTGAGACATATGCAGGTCATATCCAGTAATTTAGTCTGCTTAAACTCCGCCTCTGCAAGGTCATGTTAATCTGCCTTTGCTTTTGAGTGCCACGTCCGCATCTCAACATCCAATCAACAACTTATGCACAGAACCAAGTCCCGCCCTACGTTTTTTTTTTCCTGATAATTTTTCTTTTTTTGAAAATCTTTTTCACTCGGATGTACAAAACAATACAGAAGAAGAGATCTTCGAATCATTGCGACTTTAATATTCCTGAAGGGTTAGTTTTGAAGATCTTAAATGCAATCTTGCTCACCTGCGTCCTATCTTCACGTCGTCTTCTATACATCTGTCTTTCTCTGTGGGTCTCTGGAATTGTCAGTCTGCTGTCAACAAAGCAGATCTTATTCCTGCTATTGCTTCCCAAACTGCACTTAGCATCTTGTGCTTGACTGAGACCTGGATTTGTTCAGAAGACTCAGAAACCCCAGCTGCTCTATCTAACAATTTCTCTTTCTCTCACACCCCTCATCAGGTTGGGAGAGGTGGAGGTACTGGTCCCCCTTCATTTCAAACAATTGGAAATACTCAACCCACACTCCCCTATGCAATAATAACTCATTTGAATCCCATGCTATTACTGTAACAGCTCTGGTAAAACTCCATGTTGTAGTCATTTATCGCCCTCCTGGGCACCTGGGCACCTTCCTAGAGGAGCTGGATGGGCTGCTGTCCTCATTCCCTGAGGATGGCAGTCCACTTATAGCCTTTGGTGACGTCAGTATTCATTTGGACAAGTCTTATGCTGCAGATTTCCATTCACTCCTAGCTTCATTTGATTTAAAACGCTTTATCACCACAAGCACTTACAAATCTTGCAACCAACTGGACGTATTTTACATGCGCAGTTGTGTTGTAGACAACATTTTGGTAAAACCCCTACATACCTCTGGCCACTACTTCATAACATTTAACCTACATGTGAGCCACCAACCCCTCTGCCTGTTACCTTTAGACGAAACCTCTGTTCCCTTTCACCCTCACATCTTTCCTCTGTAGTGTCTTCCTCTCTTCCCTCACCCTACCCATTTCTCTTCTCTGGATGTGAACGCAGCAACTGACACTTTATGCTCTATTTTAACTTCTTGTCTAGACAATATATGTCCTCTCTCCTTCAGGCCAGCACGGGCTGCCCCTTCTAACCCCTGGTTATCCGATGTTCTTCGTGAGCATCGGACCAAACTCAGGGCAGCAGAGAGAAAATAGCGCAAGTCAAACGATCCATCAGACCATCTGATACAGAGAGAGAGTGTATCAGTCTTTGCATTCATCTTTCTCTGCTGAAGTCCATACTGCCAAGTCTTCATATTGACCAACAAGGTCAACAGTGCTTCTGACACACGTAATCTCTTCAAAACATTAAATTCTCTCCTCCGATGACTTTGCCACAGTCTTCACAAACAAAACTAGAACAATCAGCAGCCGGTTCTCAGGTCCACACACACAGGAACTCAAACCAACCACATCTACTGCACAAAACTCCCCTCTCCTCCTTCTGTTCCCTCACTGAGGCAGAAGTATTGAAACGTCTCCTCTCCAGCCATCCTACAACATGCTCTCTAGACCCAATCCCCTCACACCTTCTCCAAGCAATCTCCTCTACACTCATACCACCACTCACACACATAATCAACACATCTCTCCTCACAGGCACTTTCCCCACTGCATTCAAGCAGGCTCGGGTAACCCCACTCCTCAAAAAACCTGCATTAAACACTTCACTTACAGATAGCTACAGACCTGTCTCTCTCCTTCCATTCATAGCGAAAACACTTGAACGAGTTGTTTTCAACCAGGTATCGACATTTCTTTCAAAGAATAACCAACTGGACGCTAACCAATCAGGTTTCAAAAGTGGACATTCAACTGATTCCAAATCATCAATTCTCATTCTGCTGGATCTATCTGTCGCTTTTGACACTGTGAATCATCAGATCCTCCTGTCCGCCCTCTCATCACTGGGCATCACATCAACTGCTCACTTGAGTTCCTCAGGGATCAGTTCTTGGACCCCTTCTCTTCTCCATATACACTACATCACTGGGTCTCATCATAAAGGCACATGGTTTCTCCTACCATTGTTATGCTGATGACACATAGCTCTCTCTCTCATTTCAACCAGATGATCCACCGGAAGCTACACGGATCTCAGGCTGCCTGGCGGACATCTCGGCATGGATGAAAGAACATCACCTACAGCTCAACCTGGCAAAGACTGAGCTTCTTGTCTTCGCTGCCACTACAACTCTACAGCATGATTTCACCATCCAGTTAGGTTCATCAACAATTACCCCATCAAGTTCGGTCAGAAATCTTGGTGTAATCTTTGATGACCAGCTGACTTTCAAAGACCACATTGCAAAAACTGCTCGATCTGGCAGGTTTGCATTGCACAACATCAAAAAGATTAGGCCCTTCCTAACGGCGCATGCTGCACAACTTCTTGTCCAGGCCCTTGTCATTTCTAGACTGGACTATTGCAATGCTTTTCTGGCTGGACTTCCACCAAGCACAGTCAAACCTCTACAAATGATTCAGAATGCAGCGGCACGACTGGTCTTTAACGAGCCCAAAAGAGCTCACGTCACACCTCTCTTTATCTCCCTGCACTGGCTCCCGGTTGCAGCTCGCATCAAGTTCAAGACATTAATGCTTGCATATAGAACAGCTACAGGCTCCGCACCCGCCTACCTCCACTCACTACTACGAATGTACATCCCCTCCCAGAAGTCTGAGATCCGTTAGTGAGCGACGCCTCGTGGTATCATCACAGAGAGACACAAAATCACTTTCCAGAACTTTTTTGTTCACCGTTCCTGGCTGGTGGAATGATCTTCCCACTCCTATCCAGAATGCTGAATCCCTGACATTTTTCAAGCGACAGCTAAAAACTAATCTTTTTCGTCACCATTTGACTTCATCTAAAAAAAAAAAAACAACAACCTTTGCTTTCTTTCTTTTTCCTTAATCTCTCCCTGTTTAGCTTGTACTAATCTGAACAATGCCTGAAACTGTATTGCAAGCACTTCCTGCGTTTATTTGCCTCTTTATGATGAATTGTATTCCTCAAATGTAAGTCGCTTTGGATAAAAGCGTCTGCTAAATGAATAAATGTAAATGTAAGATTACTAAATACTTAGTTAAGTATTGACTTTGTAAATTAAAATAGTTTGGAAACTAAATTTGGAAACACAACTCTTAAGTGTACAGGAATCATAAATGTGTCATGCTTCATGTTTGTATGTTTGTATAGTTTCTCACAGTTTGTGCCGGTGATGTGTTGGATTGCCATTTACCAATGCTGGAAACCCTTATTAGCTGTTTATGACCAGATCCAGATGTCTTTTTGAGAGTAGCTTGACAACGTTGAGCGTTTGCAGTATGTTGCTAGCAGGCTATATGTTCCAGCATGGAAAGCTTGTTCCAGAAACCCAGTGGGATTTCATTGGGTTTGGCAGGGATTTATTGGCCGTGAGACAGAATTGATGTACTGTATGCTTGACTTTCAGGACTTGAATAAGCGTCAAGGCCTGGCTCTGCTGACTAAAATGGGGGAATCTGTGAAGTATGTGACGGGTGGTTATAAACTGAGGGCACGGCCGGCGGAGTTTGCTGCCATGGGCGACTATCTGGACTTGTTCACACAGAAAATGGGCACCATTGACAGGATAGCACAGAGAATCATCAAAGAGCAGTCAGGTAAAGAGCATCCCACCAGTCTACCATCCTAAAGGCCTGGATACACTAACAGCGAAGCTCTTTCTCGTTCTTCATGAAAGGGTAAAAAGAAGTTTGAAATATCTTTGTGGCAGTTTTCTGTTTAGTTAACGTCCCAATGCTGCCGCCTGAGCTGCTGAGAGTGATGTTGAGATGAATATGTGCTGCCCGCTCTCCACTCAATAACAAAATAAACACGCAACAAAAATGCCAGTGGTGAGAAAACAGCAGTTAAGAAAGCATCTGACCATAACAATGTGGATATGTTTACAGCAGCTCTGCAGTTCAGCACTCAAGCGAAGTCACGTCACATTTATTTATAAAGCACTTTATACAGTAGATCGCTTTAAAGCAAGCAGCTTTCAGGGCCGTTCACTCAGAATGCGTTTTTCCATTCCAATGTACTAGTTTTCCATAGTTTTTTTCTGTAAACACGTGCATGCATGACCGTCGAGTGCCATGTTTTTAAGACGCCGTGTCAAGTTAAAATAATTAACATTTTAACATGCAGCATTGCTCATCAATGTCAGTTCCAAAACAGTGGACCAATCAGGAGACCCCGGAGGTGGGGCAAGCGTTGTGAGCTTTTGTTTAGAGTAGCAAGTTGGCATGGCAACTTTTTTATTTGACAGCATCATGGTGGAGGAGGCAATCTGTGCTGAACTTCATTCCTAACTGTTTTCGCGTTTTTAGATGCAAATACGTGTTCTGTGTGAACGGCCCCTAAAACATGAAAAAAAAACAGTGTCAGAGTCACATTCAGTTAGAATTACGCTTCAATTTCTACTATAAATCAGCTCTCCAGTGCTTTTACACGTGGTCTGATCTCGATGGACTGAACTTCTACAACTTAATATTTTTTTTGTTAAAAGGAAGTTAATACTTTAATTCAGCAAGGGTGCGTTAAATTGATTAAGTGACAGTAAAGACATTTCTATTTCAAATAAAATATTTCTATTTAAATAAATGCTTTTCGGAACTTTCTGTTCATCATGAATCCTGACAAAATCGCAAAAATACAATAATCAGAAAAAATTAAGCAGTGCAGCTGTTTTCGACATCGATAATAATCAGAAATGTTTCTTGCGCAGCAAATCAGCATGTTAGAATGATTTCTGAAGGATCGTGTGACACTGAAGACTGGAGTAATGATGCTGAAAATTCAGCTTTGATCACAGGAATAAATTACATTTAAAATACATTAGAATAGAGAACAGTTATGTCTATAGCAGCTTATGCAGGGTGTTTCAGATCAGACTCACAAGGTTCATGTAGGAACAGTGTTGCCAAGTCTGTGGTTTTGTCCCACGGAATTGGGCTACTTTAAAGGGATAGTTCACCCAAAAATGAAAATGTGATGTTTATCTGCTTACCCCCAGGGCATCCAAGATGTTAGGTGACTTTGTTTCTTCAGTACAACACAAACGGAGATTTTAACTCCAGCCGTTGCAGTCTATCAGTCTTATAATGCAGGGCAATGGTAACAAAATCTAAAAGAGTAAAAAAAAACATGCACAGACAAATCCAAATTAAACCCTGCAGCTCGTGACGACACATTGATGTCCTAAGACACGAAACGATTGGTTTGTGCGAGAAACCGAACAGTATTTATGTAATTTTTTACCTCTAATACACCACTATGTCCAACTGTCTTTGGGCGCGCGCACGGCATCCGGTGCGTGAGGTGTGTACGCGCTCTGGCGTAGTTTACGTTAATGGGTGTGTTGATATCCAGCCGAAGAGCAATCAACCATAACTTCAGGTGAGCAGGCTCAGAAGTTGGGAATACGTGGAAAGTCACCACTCCCGAATGAGTTCGCCCAATCTTTTAGTTTTAAGTCGGTTTGAACAATCCGGATAAGCGCAAGTAAGTACCATTTTGATTAGCCGTCGTACCTACAATGACTGTGCACTGTGTAAACAATGAGTGACGTATACGCGCAAGAGATCACTTCCGGCGCTTACGTAAACTACGCCAGAGCGCGTACACACCTCACGCACCGGATGCCGTGCACGCGCTCAAAGACAGTTGGACATAGTGGTGTATTAGAGGTAAAATATGATACAACTACTGTTTGGTTTCTCGCACAAACCGATCGTTTCATGTCTTAGGACATCAATGTGTCGTCACGAGCCGCAGGGTTTAATTTGGATTTGTCTGTGCATGTTTTTTTTACTCATAGATTTTGTTACCATTGCCATGCATTATACGACTGATAGACTGCAACGGTTTGAGTTAAAAATCATCATATGTGTTCTACTGAAGAAACAAAGTCACCTACATCTTGGATGCCCTGGGGATAAGCAGATAAACATCACATTTGCATTTTTGGGTGAACTATCCCTTTAACACTGTTGCCGCAGGTTGAAGCGACCCCAAAAACATGATATTTAGCACCTGAAATGTGAATATTACCAGGGGAACCCCACCAAGAAACACGTATTTTACCCCCCGGAATGCAATTTTTACTGGGGGACACCCTCGAGATTGGGCTAGTTTTGAGTAGCAATTGGGTGGGTTTTGTTACTTTCAGGAAGTTCTTTCAGGAAGTAGACTGAAAGACAGCTCAATAGGTTTTAAAACGGAGCCTATTAGTGACATTTGGCGGTAAAAATAAATACTACAAAAAAGTAGGAAACAGTCCACTTTTTCATTGTTTCTGTGTGTCAGAGTTCCTGATGGAGTTGAGAGAGTACGGGCCGGTCTACTCCTCCTGGTCGTCTTTTGAGGAGGACCTCCATGATCCTCTGGAGGGGGTGTCGGGGTGCATGTCGAACTGCTCCAGCGCTCTGGAGGAGCTCACGGAGGACATGAGCGAAAACTTTCTCCCTGTGCTCAGAGAATACGTCCTGTACATCGAGTCCATGAAGGTGAGCGGCTCTCAGCTGAGCTTTTTAGTCATTTCTTCCGCTTTAATTCGATTCGGCATTAATATGGAGCGACCAGCAGAGTTTCCCTCATCCGTCTGCTGGAAAAGAATTCATGCCATTGGGAAACAGACCGTATGCAGAACGCTTGACTTTCTTTCTGACTGTTTGCAGAGGGAATGTAATGGTTGGCAGTTTTTTCTGACAGCATATTCTCCCAAAACTAAGCCAATGTTAATTTATTGTGTGTGAAATTTGGAGTGTTCAGTAGTTACAATATGGTCTCATAATAATGTCATTTTGATGTTTATTTTATATTAGAAACGGCATTTTTAAGCTGAAACACTGTAATTGCACTGCATGATGCAGCATGGGGTCTTTCAACACAGTTTCTTAATTCTTTTTCCATTTCCATTTTGAATTGCATAATTTTTTTTTATTAACCCACTGGCAAATAGATTTTTCTTGTTTTAAACATGAATCTAGCAATAAAATCAGTCTTATTTTTTAAGGATTATCTTAAAGCAAGAAAACACTGTTTGCGTAAGGAAACTAAGCGTATTTCAAGATACTATTTTTCAATGCAAAAAATGCTGTTTTCAACATTGATAATAATCCGAAATGTTTATATGCAGATCAGCATATCAGAATGATTTCTGAAGGATCATGTGACACTGAAGACTGGAGTAATGATGCTGACAATTCAGCTTTGATCACAGGAATAAATTATCATGGAAAATTGTTGCAAAAATATTTTACAGTATTACTGTTTTTGCTGTAGTTTTGATCCAATAAATGCAGCCTTGATGAGCAGAAGAAAAATCTGCTGACCCCAAGCTTTTGAACAGTAGTGTATGCATCTTGTTTTAAATGCGCGTAGATATTTATACTGGAAAACAAGGTTAAAATGCTGATACAAATAATTGTTGCAGACAGTATACAGCTGCATCGCTATGAGGAAATGTTCTTATGCAAACTCAACAGATAAAATCACTTCCTCTCTGTCTTAGCTTGACGCATCTATCTACACCATCAGCAAATGTAGTGAGGCAAGCTTTATATTTCCTTCTTGAAAACTTCTCTAAAATGATTGCAATGACTTCAGTTGCGTAACGGCTTAAATTAAAACATAATTAAAATGTCCCAAACATATTTCAACAACTAGATAATTGGATTCTTCTTTTAAAGTCAAGTTAAGTAAAATATATTTGTAGTGCACTTTTCACAACACACATTTTCAAAACAGCTTTACAGAAAATCATGGTGTTAATGTTTATAATATCGTAATATCTTCATGTATGGATATGTAAAAATAATAAATAAATCTATCTATATATATATATATTTATATATATAAACATACATACAGTATATACAGTTATATATATATATACTGTATATATATATATATATATATATATATATATA